GATTCTGTAGTTACTCTGCTATAAATTAACTTGACCGTTTCCAGGGAATTTACGCTCACTCATTAGCAGAAGTAGAATTCTGACTTCAACTGATGCCATCACCCTACCGACCGTTTGCAGTGTCCTGGTGGTTTTACCTCCAACTGTTTCACTTCTCCATGTGAACCAGCTGACTCTCCTGTAAAGCCACATGCTCTAAGGAATTGTTTTCCACCAAAACTTGAGGGATGCAGAGGAAGTTTGCAAGCCCTGAAGAGTTAGTCACTAGACATTTCTATGGCAAAGGACCCAATTACTCATTATTATTGGAGCTCACATCAGCGTTTCATCTGTTTTCGTTACAGTTTTAAACGGCTTAACAGAATACTTGCATATCTGGTCACAGTGACAATGGGGGACAGGAAGTACTTACTGGTTCCAAAAGCAGTTTTATTCTGTCCGTATGAAAAGCCCGTGTTAGTGGTGGAAGAGCCGAAGAGCCCTGTAGCTGTACTTGATGTAGCAGTTGAAGACCCAAACAAGCCTGCAGCTGCTCCTGCTCCCACGGGATTTGAGGGCCCTTTCCTGTTTGCCTGGTAGTCCTCTAAACGGAGTTCCTAGGAAGGGAAAACCCAGTTCTTTTTACACAGGGTAAGGCTAGAACAGCGCTGTCAGCAGGATCACAGAGCATCCGAGCCTAGACCGAGATGAAAGTCTCAAGAAAAGCTGCATCGCTCCCATTTTTTGAAAGAAGGACACCATAATCAGAACCTAAACTTAAGATTCGTGTTTGGGCTTCAGTTTTACTTCACAGAGCTTTTTCAGATCTTTTGAGTAGAAGACCTGTGTTGAAGTATCAAACAAGTCAACCTGAATGGAAAGGCTTCAGGTTAAAAATCTGGAAACAAGAGTTTATATAAAAAAACTCTGAGTTTTCTCTGAGATTCTGCCATTATCTCTGCAGCACAGGACTGCTCCCAACAGGATCTCTCACTCTTCTGGTACATGGTGAGACAGAATTTCAGCTCTTCAAATACAGCAGTATTAAGAATTAAAAACAAAACAAAAAAATCAATTAATACGGCAATGCACAAAGTGTTTTACTTGACGATACCTCTCTTCTGTGAGTGAGGTGGATACTGAAGGTTGTACTCAATTACAAGCACAGAGGATACTCTTTATGGTCAAAGAAAGTTCTACTAAACCAATGCTAACGAACAGACAAACAACACAAGCACGTCTGAACGCTCATTGACTGACCTCAAGAGATTTGCTTTCATATTCCTTCATAGCAGTGATGCACTGGTGCTTGGTGTTGATGTTAGTACTAACTCCAGACTTTACCATAGTATCTGTGCCGGTTGGTGGCTGCAAGAGAAGAGGTAGAGATATCAAGTTTAAAATCCAGGCAAACGTCCGTTAATGCAGTTAGCACTCCCAGCAGATGCTGTCAGAACAGAAATCGAGCCGAGGACTCGAAGCAGTGCCTTACTGTTATCTGCACACCTGTGATGAGGCACCTTCAGCAGCAATCAGTAGTGGAGTTTATCCCAGTAACGCTCAAAGCAATGCAGTGCAATTCATTTTCCAGTTTCACTTTGGCAAGTTTAGGTAAACTGCTTTGGTAAGAACCCTATAGCTGTTCCCCACTTCCCTTATCCCCCATTTTTCTAGTTGTACTATGAAAGTCTGCCTCAACAGCGCTCGGACTGCTCAAGCTGACAGCCATGGTTCTGCCTATGCCCAGAAAGAACAAAGTCTCAGTCTGTTAAATCAGCTCAGTCTAGAAATGAAGGTGGCCGAAATCTGCATGAACAAATATTTGGGAAAAAGAATGCCTCTTCCCAGCAGATAGCAGTTACCCCGTTTACAGGATGACTTCCTTTCCAGGCCATCCTCTATTTTCAACTGCCACAGAACTCTGAAGACGTTGTTCAACCCCTTCTTAAAGGGAACTCAACCACAAAATGCAGGGGAGCAGTCTTCCCATTTCAGCTTACATTTCCAAAGCCACGCTGACTAAGAGAACTGCATTTATTCTGACCCATTCCAAGACACCTCTAACCCTTACTCCTGTTAGTGTTCAGTGCTGATTGACCTGAATTCTGTGGCACTGCCTACCTTCCTGATGAGGCTCAGCTTCAAGAGCTGCTTCACCTCTTCAGCTTTAACACAGCTGTAAACCCAAAAAGTCCCTGTAGGGCACTACTCCACAGTGCTGGTGAAGTCTGTCAAATTCAGAATTAAAAAAAAAAAAGCCTAGTTCTTTGGAGTTAACTACCCATCCTACGTCTACTGCAACAGCTCCACTAACAGGGATGTTTCCAAACCATTTCAGAACACTGCATGCTTGCATACGAACTCATTTTTAAATTTCAGCTCAGCGACCAGGACAGTACTTCACACAAAGAACCGCAAGATGTAATGCTTCCTACAGCAAACAGGCTGGATTAAGAAAGAAGAAACTTACGTTAAACTTAATAGTCGTGCCAGTTGGAGCAGCAGTAAAGCTGGTTGGGCCAAAAAGAGAGCCAGACGTACTCCCAAAGGGATTGGAAGTGGTGTTAGTGGTTCCAAAGAGACCTCCGCTGCTGGTACTGGTGCCAAAGTCTAAAAAAAATGAAAAAACAATAAAAATCAGTGCTACGACAAAACTAAATTTTACATCTTAAATCCAAATACTTCACTCATATTATAAAATGGTTCAGAAATGGAAGAAAGTGCTAGGAAAATAAAGAAGAAATCACAGCAGTGCTAGAAATGCGTACGGCAATCTGCTGCTGTAGGGGACTGCCCTAACCCATCACCCAGGAAATACCACAACAGCCACAGCAGCCAACCTCACTCTGCTCCTGACAACACTAGGAAAACTACGTGCAGAAAGGGAACCACCAAGGTTTCTTTTCTCAGAAGGGTCTGCAAGCAGTTGCTTCTGCTTCGGGGAAATTACAGGAGAGTCTGAGACACTGTTCAAGCACTTCAGCACCAGTGGCAAAACCAACTACAGCTTCCCTGAAACAGCAGAATTAAAACCTGGAACCAAGCAGCACCAAAGGGTATTTATGAATAAGAAGTATCAATTGACCACCTGTGTACCGTATTTTAAACTTCATGGTGAGACTTGCAGCTACACATTTTGTAGCACATCGGGCTCACTCTTGGCTACTGTGGCCCACAGCAATGTCACTAAACCCTCCAGGAGGAAAACAAAACACCAGACCCCGACATTACCCCTTGCATCACACCCACACGTCCAGCCAGCGTCTTGCACTCGTCAGTCAAATAAGCAATGCTCAAGACACATGCAGCAGGTTTACTCACTTCCAAACCCAGCTGGCTTGTTCTGGGCAAAGGCATTATTCTGGGAAGAGAAGAGGCCTCCACCAGTGCTGGTTGTTCCAAAGAGGCTATTGGACGTCCCTGTCGACGTGCCAAACCCAAAGCCTGTGCTTGTGGAGGAGGTGGCTGGCTGATTAAACGTAGTCGAACCAAATAATCCTCCTGAAGACAGGAACAGACCATTAATCACCGGCAACCACCATTGCTTAGGGTTTTTTTAGTTAGTTTTGGAGATTTGGGGGTTCCCCACCCCCTCATTGTTTCTGTTGTTTGTAATTTTATGGGATTTTTGTTCCTCCTCATCTTTTTAAACACATCCTTCTCTCGTGATCGCATTCTACACCACAATCATAACACAGCAATACCTGGTTTTGTCTGCGTGCTCCCAAAGAGGCCTCCGGTGTTATTGTTGGAGCCAAAGGCTGACGTTCCAAACGCTCCTCCACTGGTGGTACCAAAGCCAGCATCTGAAAACCAGCACAACAGTTGAGATGAAGCCACGTCTGCACACCTGGACTAGGTGCTGCTGCCTTTTTCACTTCCAAAATACAGCCTGAGCGGAGTGGGACTGCCCACACATCAGCATCTCCGATGTGTGAAGTGCAATAACAAACGCTTGCACAGAGCTCCTGAAGCAAAGTCCCAGAGGACTGGAGTCAGCCACTTCTGCAGCCGTACAGACACCTCTCTGCAAGGCCTCTACCTTTTTTATAGCCTCTGGAAGTTGCTCTTCTCACACCTCGGCTCCGTGAGCAATATAAGCAGAATGACTGTTTCCCTCGTAACAAATCTGGCACACGCAGCAGTTCACAGTCTGCACTAATGGCTGACCACTCACTCACTGTGGTATTTACAACGCCCATCTCCAGAAGACGCTCCTGCTTACGTGCTTTTTCCTACCAAGTCTTCCCAAAATACTCTGGTCTGGATTGAAAGAATTCCCACTCCCACCCCAGCACAACAGCCTTCACCTTAGCATTAGGGTGACAGAGCACTGGACCAGGCTGCCCAGAGAGGTTGTGGAGTCTCCTTCTCTGCAGACATTCAAAACCCGCCTGGACGCCTTCCTGTGCAACCTCATCTGGGTGTTCCTGCTCCGGCAGGGGGATTGGACTGGGTGAGCTTTTGAGGTCCCTTCCAATCCCTAACGCTCTGGGATTCTGTGATTTGATTTCCCACTCCTTTTAAAACAAACACACTTCAAGGATGGTGGGTGGAATCCTGGTGTCTACCCAGATTAAAAGCTCAGCAAACAGAGCAGCCCAGGGCTCCTGAAGCCAGTTCACAAATTGCTCCCTGTCACAGGGGAGTGAGCAGGACAGCAGAGCAGTGCTCCCATCCCATCACAGAGAATCACCACCTCCACCTGACCCACTGGCCACACCTCCTGCAAAAAACACCTGAAGTCAGATCAGATTTATGGTGACTCACTTTGTCCAAAAGTTGAAGTCGTCCCAAAGCCAGCGCTGCCTCCAAATGGAGTTCCAAAGGATTTGTTAAACATTTTCAGGACGTATCAGGTTTTTCCTCTAAATCTGGAAAGAAGAATTCATTAATTGAAGGTTATCTGGAAAACTCAGGTTTTATCTTCCTTCTGGTCGATGGAAGAGATCTGATTTTGGTACTCAAGCCACAGAACACACGGCAGTGTGTGCACGCCACACGCAGCCACGGAAAACGCAGGCAGAACCCTAAAGGGGCAAGAACACAGATCCTTCAGTGAAATCACAGGAAAGGTGTCTTCCACCCAGCTGCATTTTCTGTACATCTTACAGACCCCAAAACCTAACAAATTCAACTACTGCCCTGCCCCACACATCCTCCACAAAACCCTCCAGAAGACCCAACCCTAACAGTTCTCCCTGCACTGGATCCTGCCACGTTTGAGCCGCATTGGGTGACACAAACTCTTTGCTCTGCGACTACAGACCCCGAAGGAGCCC